ACTTTATAACCAATTGCGACCACGCATATCCACACATCTGCGTGATTATGACAGACAGATACCATGACTATTCGTTATGAGTTTGTTTTGATCCATGGGACAAACGGATTTTGAGTTAGTCGACGATACGTTGCTGCTAAGTTGTTTTTGCCATTTTCTCGGTGAAACAAAACAGCAATTCACGGCAACTGCAGGCCTTTGATCTTGAGTGTTAGTGGACGCATTATACTAATTTTTCGTACAGACACTCTTCGATATGTTCCCTCTCAAGCCGCGCTGGGATTTTTCTATTTTTCTTTTTGTTTCGAAATTACGTTCTAATTTCTGAATACCGAAAAGAACCAGATCGCATTGTTTTTTCAAGATAGCTAAATTATTATTTTTTTTCCAACTATCATGTCGATATATATCTCAATTAACACGGAATGGTGGTGAGCGTCGTCTGAAAAACTGTTTTGTTGCCAATGTTCCACTAAATTTGTTTATTCATTGGTTCAATTATTTTTTACCGAAAATGGCTTTCTGTGTTTACACAGAGATCACGTGACTATACACGTCCATACACACACTATCTTGTCGATTTCATATCCATTGTGAAATAAGCTTTCCATCAATATATAGCTTTGTGTGGTTCAGTAAATATTTTATATGAAAATATCAGTTTAGAAAATCAATACCAAAAACGTGTACAGCATCCTTAATATCAATAGTTGCGTCATATCAAGAACAGACATATACTGGGTAACCTGGTACGTCACTGTATATGCATTAAAAGCAAAAATTGTACACACCTTATATACAACTTATTTGGTGTTATTGACATCAAAGACAGTCATGTCATCATCTTCGTCATCTTGATCTAAAGGAGCCATCTCCATATCAGCGCCAGGTGTTGTAAGTACACCGTATTTCTTAGATTTACTTCGTCGGCTACGTAATCTGAAAAAATAGACATTGTTATAACTTAGTGTTCTCTGTAACAATGTACATTTGTAATGTAACGCACACAGAATATTTTGCTTGTGATGTTGTTCGTTCTGTTCTGTTCCATTCCATTACTGATTAGTCATATATTAGTGAACAAATACTGTGGAAAAAGAAGAGTTACTCAAACTTCACTAGCTCTAACAAAAAGTTACCAGCTCTGCATCACAGATACCATGGTAGGTACATGTAATTCAAATTTCACTAGCCCTAACAAAAAGTTACCAGCAATGCATCACAGATACCATGGTAGGTACATGTAACTCAAATTTCACCAGCCCTAACAGAAAGTTACCAGCTCTGCATCACAGATACCAATGGTAGGTACATGTAACTCAAATTTCACTAGTCCTAACAGAAAGTTACCAGCTGTACATTACAGATTATTTACAAATATCATTTCTATCCAAAGTAAGCATGCAAAGTCACTTTATTTAGCAAGTGACAATGACAGCTGAGTTCTGTTCCCCTGTTCTGTTCTGTATTTCCACAATCATGTGAAATACAATGACTAAAACCTATTCTGATAATTCAACTACTCAACAAATTTATTTTATTTTTTTCATTTTAAATCAGCCATGGCTGAATGAAATGCGAATGATCAAGCCCACTGTTCCAGTGTGTCTATAAACTAACCATTCCCAACTCTTCTTTGGTGGCAACTGTATAATACATATACGTCTCCTGTTGGCAATAAGCCATGTTCCACAAGCTGCAACCAGTGGAGTCACTTGACACATGCCAAGCTTTCAATTTAATATGGTGGCAACCACATTGTTCTTTCCAGTGTTCGAAATTAACGTCGGTCCGTCAGCCTCACGCCGACAGTGGGTGTAAAGGGCCTAGAGCTGTGAAAGACCATCAGTCCTTGTGACCGACCATAAATTTATATTTAAAAAAAACGTTCCATTATTTAGTATGATTGTAAGACCAAATATATAATAAGTATCGATAGTACCGGTAACTCCAGAATTGTTTCAAAATTGCGTTTTCTTGCACGTTTGATCAACAAATGGCATCACTCATCGACCTAGGCATACGAGTCATAATTCAGGCTCGCCGAATGATCGCGAAATGCGCCGAACGTGGAAACTGTAACAAACGATCTGATTGGTTGTAGGCCGATCAAGCCTCCGATTCAAACAAATAGAATTCGCGCTTACATTTTATGTTCCGCCATCTTTGATTTGCAGCGAACACGCTGGTATCAATAGTTGCAGAGTTACGTCTACATCGAAGTATGTGGCAATATTTAAACTGCCAGGAGCCTGCTGCTAAACGTGTGAAAACTACACAAGGAAGGCGTGACAAACAGCAAGAATTCAAACGGTCTAGGCGTAAAACACGCACATTCCAAGTTAGCTGGCAGGCGGAGTTCAAAGACTGGTTACTTTTTGATAACAACAAGGCGATGTTGATCCTACGGTCAGCTGTCGGTTAGTAAGATTGTAAACACGATGCAAAATACATGTCAGATTCAGAGTCGGCCAGTGATCATGTTTTTTCTGAAGATTTTGATGAGTTTAGTGACGATGAAAGAAATGATGATGACCTCTTTGAGGCTACAGATAATATATCTGATTAATTAGTAAATAAAGGTTTTGCAATTGCAAGCTTGTATTATCCGTTTAGTCTTTGTTTGTTAAATATCAGGGCCTACGGTTAGCTAGAAGGACCTACAGTTTTAATTTGACATAGGTCCTTCGGGCCTGTAATGATTTTCAGTTAATTTCGAACACTGGTTCTGTCTGTTGTAAACCTCATTCTGAAACAATATCTGTGATACTTGAAGCTACAATAGGAGCTAAACGGTACGCTTACAGCAATTGTAAGAGTGATGCTCGCATTCAGCACAAATATTATATGAATGGTGTTTTTTTACGATTACCTAAACCAAAAACACAGTCTGAAAAGTGCGATCAATGAATCAGTGCCTGCTCTTAGGCAGAAAACTTCAACACTGAATCACCCATGACACGTACATTTGTTCCCTGCACCTTGTGAAAAGGAAAGGTTCTATTGAGTTGCATCCAGTCGCAGGCAACTGCGAGAGGTGTTGATTTGGTATATTCGAATCCTGAAAGAGAAAGTCGTCACCAAATCAAGGAAACTTGTTTCGGAAATCGCAGTGTATGCACTGCATGTACACCACTTTGAATCAAAGCTTGACCTGTATCACGTAACTAGCAACCGGTTGATAGGCAAATTTAACAGTCTTCTCTGATTGGTTGTTCAGATATTTAGGCTTTCACAATCAGACAATTAAAATTTCAACACTGAATCACACATGCATAGCACAGTCCCAGTTATTTATCAAGTTTAAGATATATACTGTAGCCAGCGAAAGTACATGCACAGAGAACTAAAAAACGCAAATTAGATCTAATTTCAATCAGATTGGTGTATATATATATATATATATATATATATATATATATATATATATATATATGAAGGCTTCTTATTGTTTTGAAAATTACTGATGTTGGTACTGTTGCAACAAAAACGCATGTATTTAGGTTGATCAAAATCAATAAAAGTTTGACTTGAAGAAAATAAAAATTCACACTTTAGATTACAAACTTCAACTTGTATCCTCTTAAATTTAACTATCAATACATGTTTTCTGTGACACGAGTTTATAAGTTTCAATCATGTCATCCCTTCATAATCTCTCCAGTAACATCATCCCCAATTCTGACAATCTTTCCTCATGATACATGTATAGCTGCTGTTCCTTGAATATTTGTGTAGCCCTTGAGATTGTACATTTTCTTGATGATCAATATCTTAGTTGAAATGAGGTGACCATACCCGAACACAAAACTCTAAATGTGGACAAACGTAAGTCTTGTACAAAAGCAGAAATCTCACTCTGTCAATGTAGCAGAAACAATTCTGAATAGATGACAAAACAATCATGGTTTGGTATCTGTTGAACTTGGCTAGATTTGAACTCTGCCAGTGGTAGAACTCGGCCAGTGGTTGAAGTCGGTCAGATTACGAGTTAATGGGGTTGGTAAATGGGCGTTAATGGTCTACAAGTGTTGTTGATTACTAACAAAGTACAGACTGCCCGAGTCGTACATGTATCACGGTAAAAAATTAAATACTGGACGATACATGAGTGGCAAGGGTTGTTGATTACAGTGAAGCAGCAGCGCTGTAACGAATTTTATCTGTACTATGTTTTATTACGAAGAAATAAAACTACTGTACTGTACTGTACTGTACAAACACAGTTACAAGTTAGAAAATAGCGGACTTAAATTGTGGTGAGTACGAGTATCAATCCACACTATTTTGTAATTGATCAGAAAGATTATATGCATTGATAATCACAAGAAAAAGTTGCTTCATACAAAACGGCTACAAACTGCAACGTTATTTGTGTTGTTTTTACATAGCAGAGCCGGACGGTTGTCGATGCAATTTCTATGTTCCCGATATAATGTCTGTGATTTTTGTAAATTTGCGTCACTGCAATCAACAACGAACCAGTCATGGGAGTAAATCAACAACATATCAGTGAAATGCGCCTACACACATGTATAAACACGCGAAACAGAAAAGTGATAATTATTAATCATTCACCACTACAAGGATTAACTCTGCCCAAGTTCGACTATTATTATCTGGCCGGGTTCAACTGTATTTACTTGTTTGGTGCTTATATATTTACAGTCTTGATGTCATGCAAAATTCCCAATATTTTTTTTTTCACCACTCGTTGCAAAACTCTTATTACACTCATTTCCAGTTCCCATTGTGCATTCATGATAAGTGTTATTTCTATTTATATGCATTCTTGTAGTTTTACAATCATTATAGTAATTAATCCTTAGAATACATGTTATAGAACAAGGGATTTAACTATCAAGATTATCTTGCCATATTAACTTATAATTAAGTTATCCATCTTGCAACTAATTGTTGTGTTCCAAATCATCTGCGAACATCCTTACAGAACAATTGACAGTTTCAGGAATGTAATTGACATAAAACAATGAAGAGAAAGGGGCTCCAATATTGGACTTTGGTGTTCCTGAATGAATGTGCCTCCAGGAGTCATCTCAGTCAGTATCTTTTTCCATTTTTGAACATTCACACGATTGGATCCAAGTAGGGCGTAAGGGTCCAGTGTAATGCCCAACCCTATCGAAATAGCATCTCCCAAGAGACCCTGGTGCAATTAAGAAGGTTAATTCTCTTCAAAGATAACAGTGGGGAAAAAACAATTCCTATGAACGCGATGTACGTCCATGGGAATAATGGTGGAACTTACCTTGCAGCTCTGAACACAAAATAGACTATGACGATCCCTGTAACCGCCAGCAATACATATAACATACGTTTCACTACATCCGAGTTAGGTTGGAAAACATTGTTATAAAAACCCCCAGTTGAAGTGTTGTTTTTCCCGGTGAGGGGAGGAGTCGTGGCAGTTTTAACTGTTGGTTTAACAGTGGGATTTGCATCATCATTTCCTGGATCGGTTTGTCCTGAGGCTGGAGCGGGGTCTTCCTGTGCTTCCCTTTGTAGCCTATCTCCAAGGACAACGATACTAGTCTCTACGACCAAGGCAAATATAAATAAAATATAAAAAATCTTCATTCTGACTGGAAACTATCCTTTTCGCGTATCATAACGTGTCGGTAACATGAAGCTCATAAACGTGCGGTGACGAAATTGAAACACAACATTCAATATGGCGATTGGTGACGTCGTCATTTTGACTCCCTAGCCTTCTCGTCAAATACAATACGGCAATGATATTTTTCTCGGGAACTATATAGTAGTATGCAATTATCACAACACCGTACTAACTTTTCGAGTCTTATTATGAAGTATAAATGTAACTATAAAATTGAAAACAAGGATTTATTTGATTGTCTACATCAAGTCCCCTCTACTATAAGAGTGAGTGTAAAACCCGACCTGACCACTTAGGTCAATGATTGAAAAGAGAAACCTGAATAGAAAAATGCTCAGAATTTGTCATCCAGCTACCGCCTTCTGTTTTCAGGCGTTAAGTCGAGGATGATGGGGTACCTTCTACCAGACCTGGTGTGTTAAAAATATTTCATACATATGCATATCCAGAATCCTGAAATGGGGGTATATCTACAAAGTAACCCGCATTCAGGCGGACTTTGGCGTCACTAGCATCATAAATTTTATGATGTAGAAGTATTACAACACTAGTTAAGTGGTGACGGTGTTCATTGTTGTCTGCGGCAAAAAACACGACAAAATGCTATTTGCGCTATATTTAAAGGGAAATGATCTTCGCACTGCGCATGTGCGACATTTGTGTTGATAAACATCGATTTTTCCCAAAATCCAATGCGATTTTTTAATGGAAATCACAAGTACGAGGTTTAATTTGTGGACAACTGTCACCAATTACCGCCGGTGACTCTTCGATACCTTCCACTCACCTTAAGAATACCTAATTCAAGCTTGGTAACGTCTCAGTTTGATCTTTGTTTATATGAGACCCATATATCTCACACATGCGTGGCGCGACAACTACCACCCTTAACAGTTTTTCGCAAACAAATTACAAAAGATCATTCATTTACTGTAAAGATTAAATATATATATTTAGATTCGGGGTGTTCTTAATGCCATATACATATGCTCTACATACGACATACCACATCACGAATCTACCAACACTGGGTGC